ATAGTGTAGTTCGCTGCGGACGGTTGGGCGTGTCAGTGCGGCTGCGTTTGGCGCGGTGCCAAACTCGTTCTCCACCAGTTGTTGAAGCGGGCAAGTGACAATACTGTATCATATCGTTCGTATTACTCGTTTTCTACCACTTTTTGTCGCATGCGCGTTTCAACAAGAAGGCAGAGAACGGCCTTGACGCTGTGCACACTCATACTGGCTGACACGCCCAACCGTCCGCAGCGAACTAGAGTGTATGCAGTATACCTACCGGAGCGGTTCTTGCAATACGCCTACGGGAAACTCGTCCGAAATTGCTTTTCAAGAACGAAGGCTTTTCTTCGCAGTTTTTGACCGTTTCACTTCGTTTTTTCGCCATTTTCCCACTAGATAGCGTTCAAAGCAGAGTACCAAATTATCGTGCATGCCTTTGAATGTAACAATGAGGTTCCTGGCACCCGCACACAATTAAGTTGATTCTTGCAAATCTTCTGTTCTTTTCGAATGCACTGTATGACAACTAACTAATCAACACAGCTTTGGAAATTTTATCAGATAATTTTATTAATTATTAGGTTAACAATATTTCCCAACAATCGTCATATCACAGGTCACACATTACAGAAGACGTTTTCGACGTTCTTGAAAAATTTTCAGTAGAACCAGAAATTGTAGCAGAAGTGTTATGGAGCCGACTGACGAGACCGAGATCAGGCTCGCTCGAGTGACGCAGTAGGACTCTGAATTCATAGCGATCAAATATTTCAGCTCACTTTTCAACAGTTCCAACGAATAAGGAGGTGAGAGTTTGAGCCCAAAGAATGATGCCATCGGGCTTATTTCACACCACATTGTAGGAACTTCTTGTGCTTCCTGAGTTTATTTTCAACTTTCATACTTGAAGTTACGCTTTGCGATTAGATGCGAAGTTGCTTTCACTGCGCGAGCAAGTAGTTAAGTCTGCAATGATCACGTATGCACCACACTTACGGCGCAAAAGCGAGTGATGAGGCCTTCTATGCCGCCGCACATTCATTGACCCGAACCACTTTCATTGGCCCTACCCACCGCTCTGTATAGTATAGCTCTGTATAATTATAGTAACAGGAGGCCCGCCAAAGAAATTAGGCAGGGGCATTGTTGCCAACGAGAGTTCAGCTGGGATCAGTTGGCACGACCACATTGGCAACATTTCTCGATCATCTTGATTGAAATTCACGGACCGCCACAAAGTGATAACCGAGGGACCATATGAGCAACCGGTGGCACATAGCGGACGCAAGCGAAAAAACGCTATCATTCCACGCGGTGTTTTCTCGCCGAAGGCGATTGCCGTCAACATGTTAAGATGTTAGGCTTCGCATTTACACTTGGCTCAAAAGCTATTATGCTTTCTATGCTTTGACTTCAATTTGACACTTGATAAGACGGTCAGGCCCCGTGGGGTATTCTATTGCATTAGAGATTTCCTTTTTTTCGTTTTCTGCATGTTTCCTACTTTAACTCTTTGTGGGGGCATCTGTGGCTTCGCCTGATGATTGATGTACATGTAATAATAACAAGGTAAATAAACAGCAGTCAACGTTCTCAAAGAGGCTGATGACTAACTTGCAGGTGGTGCCTCATTCCTGACGAGCAACGATATTTGAACCTCATCGCCATCGTTAGAGTCGATCGTTGATTCTCCTCTTAAAAGATTCCGACGCTTCCTCTCGTGTTTTGAACAATCTTTCTGCGAAAACGGTTAAGTGATTCACTCGATCAAAGTTTTCAGTTGGAAAATGTTACGTTCTTACCGGTTCACACTGGTCACAGACTTGCAACCGACAGGAAATCTTGACCGATTCACTATCTCTGAAGCGAAATGCTCGTAAAGGGAATCGAAAATCCTTCTGATTCCCTTCGAACGGCGCCTCTCACAATATACTCGCGTGCTGAGCGTGTTGCACACCTTCAAAATGTAATTTTCAGTGGAACGCAATATCCATTTGTACCAGTGTGTATCAGATTGCGCATATTATGATCAGAGCATGTCCTACGTTGGGATCCTGAGTAAGTGGGTCGTACTTGGTCGCAGGAGGGAGGAGAGTCGTGTTTGCTTCGGGAAAAATCTTTCCCGATGATTTCCTCGGCTTCTCCTCTTTCGAGTGATACTCTACCTCCTCCCCTCTTCCCCCCCCCCCCCGCCCGACAGCTGTTCTCCTGTTTCAAGTGATACATCCTCGCCTTGATAGAGAAATTATTAGGAAAAAAATGGTTGGGAGTAGGGGAAACGGGGATAGAGGCAGACGGAGAAGGAAACTTCAAACGTCGAAAGGGGAAGTGGTGGGACCATGTTTTGCGGAAATTCCCCAAAAGGCAGGACGTGCGTGGAGGGGAGACGCGCCAAAGACTTTCTGAAATGTTCTGCGCCCGAAGGTATAGAGCAGGATCAACTTCGCCCGATGCCCACTATGCAAGTGCGACATTTCCCACTCGATGAGAAAAATGGTACAGCCATCTTGTTGACTGGTTCTCAGTTCGTGTGCTGTAGCGAGGTCTTGGTAACGAACAGTCAAGAAGAGAACTTATCTATCTAGCTTTCCTGCTACATTATGTACGGTAAAGTGGTGTCAGGATAAGTAATGTCGTACCCGTCCTCGATGAGAGTAATGCTTTCTCGCTCGCTCCGATCACGTGCTATACAGCTTGATATTGTATAGTTACTGCCGAAATGATCGTCGTCATCGATCCTCAAATCAACATTTTGGCCAAGAATCACAGTCCTCATCTGGAAAATGAAATAGATGAAAAAAATCCATGTGAATCTCAGAATGTCATCCAAAGCGTCTGAAAATGAGTAGAAAATTTCGCTGATTCATGGGCAGGGCACGTCATTGGTTGGGGATTTTAGTAGAATCTGTACGATCCCCAATTTTTGGGCGCGCTGGTAGGACCTCCCCCCTCCGGCCCGCTGTTCACTCATCAATATCGAGCCCGTCTGTCGAGCGGGACGGAGGGGGGCCGGGAGGTAAATAGCTGTGAAACACCCCGCCCCCCCCCCCCCCCTTGGAAAAGTGCCAGATTCCGTGACAGGACGACCCCCCCCTCTTACCAATTTTCAGATTTTCCCCAACTTCCTGCCACTTTTTTCAAAATTTCCCGAAAAGTTCCCTACTTTTCCCCAAAAATTTTGCTGTCGAGCGGGGGGGGCAATATAGTACGCATGAAACAGGGACAGGAAAATCACCAAAGTCTACGCATGAAACAGGGACAGGAAAATCACCAAAGTCATCACCACTCCTACAACGCCAAAACGTAAATACGACCCCCCCCCTCCCAACAATGACCAAGTACGACCCCCCCCTTTACAACGTCCGTGAAGCGAGAAAAATCAACTATCAAAATAAATTTTTCCCAGCCCAAATACGACCCCCCTCTCCTGGCGGCCAAATACGACCCCCCCCCCCTATTGGGGATTCCCCAACAACGATGTGCCCTGTTCATGGATGATTTGTTTCTGGGGATCCATAGGGATAGTCCCTTCCATAATCATTTTCCCTGCCAGCGAGTGGGCGTGCCAAGAGGTGTGAATCGGAGCGTAGCCAGAGCGGCATCTTCCACCAATGATCGATGCCATACTGATCCCGCATCAATTCGTAGAAGAAGCTGCTCTAGCTGCTCTCGACTCAACGCCTTTTCACACGCCTTATCCTTTGCAGTGATAATGAATGGGTGTAAGTTCTATCCTTTTCAAACGCTTCTTCGAGAAATATTCACGTAAATCTTTTGAGCGATGTCATTGAATTGCTGCGTCTTCCTTTTTATACACCGCTCTCCCTATTTCAGAGGAAGGGACATATCAGTGAAAAAGGGTAACCAAGCGACCTAGACCATCGGCATGAAATTTGCCTCCACCGGCATTAGCAGAATTTCCAACAAGAAACAAGTCCCACCTCGGACTTCCTCTTTCGATCGCAGCTCCATCTTCATCGGACTGAAAGGTATCTTTCCACTTGGGTGAATCGACATTTTGTCCATGTCTCTGGAAATCTCTCATAAAGTTAAACTCACCCATACAGCGGTCCTTAGCGTAAGAAACCCACTTTATTTGTAAAACACTGGTGGCAGACATTTTCGTCGTTTGGTTACTGTAGTCACAAGAGATACGGTAGAGTTTGTCATATTCCGTGATCACAGGCATTTCACTGAGATTGTTCTGCTTGACGACGATGACATTTTCAAACACAAAACCTTTCTGAAACCACTGCTTAATGAGATTTGTATTCTGTCTTCGATGGAGCTCATACCCGTGAGAGAGCGCAACTTTTCGAATTGAAGAGCATCTTCAGTTGGGCCTCCGTTCCGTTGATGACAGTAGAGCAGTTTTCGTGAGCATTTCGTGGGAAAACTTCGCCACTGATGGGCACCGGTGAGAAGACCTTAATTCGTTTGTTTTAAAATAG